CGACCCCCTCCCCCCCGCAGCACCTAGTGGCCTATAGTGGGGTAGTACACGGGTAGTACTACCCCCCCCCTGTGACGCCTTCTCCTTCGAAGGTACGTAGCTACGTACCTTCGACACTTTGTACTTTCGAAAGTACTTTCGTACTTTCGAAAGTACTTTCGTATGTATTAGGCAGCTACCTTCGAAGGTACGAAAGTACTTTCGAAAGTACTTTCGTACTTTCGTACGAAGGTATGTTATTAGCTAGACTAGCTAGCTAGCTACGAAGGTAGCTAGCTAGCTAGGCCCTAGATATTACCTTGAAGGTAGATTATTAGCTAGCAGATAGACCTTCGGAGGTATGACCGAGCTCTCGGAACGCCCCCCGGACGCATAAACGCATCGCATGATGGCGGCGTATGATACTAGTTCTGTAACCTGTAGAGACAGGCCCAAATTGAAATATATGATTTTTGTATGCACAGTCACTCATCGGTAAATGTACAAGGACGTCTCTAACTAAATGCCCATAGACTGATAAATCTGCAGCTCGGGCGGAACGGGGGCTTCCTTTTCAACACGTACTTTCGAAAGTACTTCCGGAAGTACACGCACAGTACTAAGACTACTACGGAAGTACTTCCGTACTTCCGTATTACGGAACGAAGTACTTCCGGAAGTAACAGTTTATAGCCACGTACTTACGGATACTACCGCACTACAGATTTGCAGATCGCGGGTCGCCCTTACGAGCACGTTGAGGACGCGCGCGTGGGTCGATTTTCCTTTCAAAATGTTGTTCGCCCCTTGATCGATCGCCAGTCAGGTCTCGATGAGAAAAATGCAGTGATGAAAATGCGATGAAAATAAATTTTCACACCTTGAAGTTTCAACGATTTTTTAGTGTGCCTCCATATCATTTTGGGGTTCACTTTCACCAGTAGGATGGGGATTTATTTCTTCGAAGTGAAAAAAAGAGATCTCGGGAGGTTTCGGTCGAAGTCTGTTTTTTTTTGACGCGAAGGGTCCGCACTAGTAAACTACACGTAGCCCTACATACGTGTACACGTACAGCTGTACACGTACTGTACACGTACGTGTATGTAGTTGTAGTCTACAAATAATTTAATATAAAATAAATAAAGTTCTTTCAGGTTTATGAGCTAGGTAGGGCCCTCGATAGATATCTACATCACCTAAGTGATGTTGACTATCTTGATGACTGCCGCTTTCCCGATACGATGTAGTGCAACAACACACTCCCCGCTATGACAGTATCCTGCCACCTTGGCGTGCTCGATCGCTGCATTAAGGATTTCATCAGTAGTATCTGTGTCAGTGGCTCTTGCACTGCCCTCTGCTAAAAGTGGTATGAGCCCTCTCGTGAGGTTCGCTTGCCTCGCTGGGTTCTCTCCGCTGCACTGCCAAGCCAGCGAGTCCGTTGTCAATGTGGGAACGAATACGGTCAACACTGGCACCGCAGGTCGATACTTTGCAACTAATCGCGCAGTAGACCCCCCGCGAGTGAGCACTACGACGAGGGCTGCACGAACTTTCTGTGCTGTTCGCACGGCCGAGGATGCTAGTGACTCTAGCGGTTGCATTGGAATCGGCACCTGTGCCAGAATTGATTTGAAGAGCTGGTAGTGATCGATGCTCATCTCTGCCTCTCGGCAAATCTTGCTCATCACCCGGACCGCATCCACAGGAAAAGCTCCGGCGGCTGTCTCTCCTGATAGCATGACAGAGTCTGTGCCGTCTAGCACAGCATTTGCAACATCTGTTGCCTCGGCACGTGTTGGCCGTGGGTTCTTTATCATAGACTCAAGCATCTGTGTTGCCGTCACAACAGGCTTTCCCGCTGCGTTACACTTTTCTATCATTAACTTCTGCGCCAGAAAAATCTTTTCAGTTGGTATCTCCATGCCGAGATCACCTCGAGCTACCATGACACCATCACTTTCTGCGAGGATGTCGTCAAAGTTGACCAAACCTTCCTGATTTTCAACCTTAGAAATTATTTTTATCTGCCTCCCAGCCTCACCCAGCACCCGTCGAATACGTGAAACATCGCTGCCCTTCCGCACAAAGGACGCTGCAACAAAGTCTATACCGTTTGGCACACCCCACTTCAAGATATCCGCCCGATCTTTCTCTGTAATTGTAGGCAGGTCAACAACTACGCCTGGTAGATTAACATTTTTGCGCTCTCCAAGCATGGCTGTGTTTGCGCATCGGCAAAGCACCGTGCCGTTTTCAGGATGACAAGACAATACTATGAGCACGATGCTGCCGTCTCCGATGAGTATCTGCCCAATCAAGATAAGACTAGTGAGTTACAAGTGCAAACAAGTCTCGCGGGAACAGGGGGGACAGGATAGGCAGGTTTGGAAGTGACAAGCAGTTGGGAATTGACTCACCTCTGCACCCTCAACAACGTCTAGCGGAAGCTTAGAGTAACTCATCGAAATGTTTCGTTCGTCGCCATGCAGTGTATAATCAGTGTGAATCGTTACTTCCCGGCCAGCTTCCAGCAGCACTGGCTTCCCCTCCCTCAGCAACCCAGTTCGGATCTCTGGACCTTTTGTGTCCAGCAACACAGCACACATTAGCCGCGTGTTGGCCATGGCTTGCCGTAAGGTATTGAGAGTTCCTTGGTGGTACTCATGAGAGCCATGAGAGAAGTTAAATCGCGCCACCGACATTCCAGCTCGGAGCAAGTCCTCCATGATCCCAAGTTCCGCAGATTTGGGACCGAGTGTGCACACAATCTGAGCAGGGAAGAAAATACATTACATGGTTTATAGCGCGAGAACAAGACAAAAAGGTACCTTAGTCTTGCATTGAACCGCGGGAGTCCCAGCGAGGATGTCGTCTACTTGAATATTTGCCATGGCTTGTGCACTCACAAAGTCCGGTTTTCGAGGCCTGACTTGGTCTTTGAACTGTTTAAAACTTATCGTCAGCGGTGAAATTTCGACTTATGGGTTGAAAGTTTTGATCGCCCCAATGAAAAAATGAACTTTATATCTCTTGGACGTGGCGACGGCGACCAGCGGTCGCGGCGGCGGGAGGTCGACACGTCGGTCATTTTCCGGTGCAATCGCTTCAACACGCGCGTCGACGACCCGCGCGCATCGCGCACGTCGTTTGCGACGTCGCATCTCGCCGTCGTGTACCGCGGCGTTCCGTATGACTTTTTGGTCATGATCGATTTGCATTTTTTCCAGCCTAAAAAGTCTCGTGCCCGAATACGTCCCATTTGCCCGGAACAGCTGTGTATCCTACAGTATAGTGTCTGGAAATGTATCGGCACCTTCACTCGCCGAAGACTTGCGACACGCTGGATCGCACCGGCCGTCGCGAACGGTCGCGTCGTCATATGGCCTCCCTCGCGACGCCGCGCGTCGCTCCGTGCATTCGCGTATGCGTCCGCGACCGCGCGCGCGCGTCGTCGTCATCGTCGTCGACGTCATCGCGCGCGGTCGCGCGCACGGATAACGACGTCGACCGATCGCGGGACGACTCCGACGACGACGCGTTCGCCGCGCGTCGTCGCGCCGCGCGCGCCGCCGCCGCCGCGTCGATCGCGTCCGCGACGTGCGCGAGGTGCGCGCACGCCACGCTTGCGGAAATCGTCGACGCGGCGACGGCGACGGCGACGGCGACGGCGTCCTCCTCCGCCTCGTCGGACGTCGTGGCCTCCGCGGCGACGGCGGTGACGGCGTTGCCCTCCGCGCCGCTCGCGGCCGCGGCCGCCGTCGCCTCCGTCGCCGCGTTCGCCGTGTTCCGCGCCGCGTCGTTGCATTCCTCCTCCTCCTCCTCCTCCGCGAGCGGGAACCCGGTCGCAGCGACGACGACGGCGACGACGATGACGCCACCGCGCGGCACCGGCGCCGGCGACGCGTCCAAGGGACGGGCATACCTCATAGCGCCGCCGCCGCTGTTCCCGCTCGTGCCGGCGTTTTCGCGCGAGACTTTTCGCTACGAAATCATCCCAAACTCGATGTGGTTCTTCGAAGGGGATCCTCAGAGTCGACCG